CCTTTAACGCCAAATTGCATTAGTCAATTACATTTAGAACAAATTCGATTGCATATGTGATTAAGATAAACACAAATCAGAATGAGCCAAAAATTGCAAGAAATCAAATTGACATCATGTCATTCTTCCCATCGTTACTTGTATCATATGAATTTGGAAATAAGTGAATAAAACCATACCATTTGTATCGGACTAATTTTGTAATCATAAACAACTTCTTTCATAAATCTATTAAATAATATTTACTTTGGTAATTGAAGTCAAAATGATTTTCTAAATTGCCCATAACATCGAACTTAAATTAAAAAAAATAAATTAGACAGATAAAAATTAGTTGAGACCCCATTTCCTGTAATTTTGTTCCAAATCTAGCAACCAACCTAGTAAGGATGCATCAGTTTCCACGCATACATCAATTGGTTTTGATCTGCTATCTTTTCCATTTAGTGTTTGTCAATTTTTACACCACCATTTTATTTCATTGATACTCTCAGCAGAACAAATCATAAATGAATTATAATCATCATTATTAATTTTCAGATCTTTATCTATGTAATTTATTTTGATATGCTTCCTATATTTAAAATTTTCTTAAATTTACATATGGTAAAGTTGTCACATAAAGATACAAAATGATACAAAACAAAACGTTTTGACCTTTTACTAAGTGAGAAAACGATGTGTTCATGTATCAATATGCACTCGGCGGCAGCAAAGTTCAAAAACGCATTTTAGCATATCGGTCACAGTCAAGGTCACAAATGATTTATTTCAAACTATTTCTGGTAATGGAATCATTTGACAACATGAATCCATTATTCTTAGAATACATTAAAATAAGTGGAGAAATTCTCCCCAAAAGAGCGCAAAAAATATTGCGCCGTAAATTGCACCTTTCTTGCACTACGGGATCTGTAGCGTTATGGTCAAAGACAAATACAATATATATAAAACCATAACGCTACAGATCTGCAGCTAGTCAAACTCCAAAGTCAAGGTCAAAGGGCCAAAGTTCATTTTATCACATGAAAGGTCTTATCACAAGGATTAAAAGTGTAAAGTATAAAAGCACTAGCTTTAACCCTTTAAAAGTTATGGTCAAGGTTTGCTTTTTTAAAGTAGATCAAACTCAAAAGTCAAGGTCAAAAGGTAAAAGCGCTTGGTATCCGATGAATGGACTTATTACAAGGATTACAAATATGAAGTATGAAAGCCCTATCCCTTACCGTTCAAAAGTGAAAGGTCTTTCAACAAAAAATACATATGTGAGGTATAAATGTCCTGGTATCTACACTTCAAAAGATATGGCCAAAATAAAAATTTAAAATTTTCATGTAAAAGTGGGCCAAACTCCTAGGTCAAGGTCAAATTTGGTGGTACCCAGAAAGAGGTCTTGTCACAAGGAATACAAATGTGAAATATGAAAGTCATGGCTCCACTAAATCAAAAGTTAAAGGCAAGGTTGAAGTTTTTGCGGACAAACAAACAAACAGAGAGACAGCTAGACAGACAGAGAGACAGACAGACAGACCGACGGACACAACAAAATCTATATACCCCTGAAACTTCGTTTACGGGGGCATAAAAACTTTTGTTTTATCTCATATTATCCTCGTAAAAATTATTCCTAAAAGACCACAAATATAATGACCAAGTTGAGCAGGAAAACCAAGAATGTGTGATGAAGTGATCATGGGGGGAGAAGATAAGGGTAGCTATATCGATCTTAAAATTGATATTCTTAGTAAATCACCTGTAACGATACTATGACGTTTGTTTGTATCGTCATAGTACGTACAAATGCAAATGTAATTTACTGAAAGGGAGGCGCCCTCCCCTAGGATCGCAATTTGTACAGATCACGGTCTCAATCATAAGAGACGATATTTTAACAATATAAAAAATTTAGACTAGTTATCTATCTTGACAGGTTTCAAAACAGTTTAAATCATGACACAGAGTAACTAGTGCTAATTGTAACGGGAACCGTTACAGATGTTCCCCAAACGCTCCCCAACTCCCTTCTCGTGCCATATTCTCTGTAAATTTCATAAAAGAAGGCAAAATCTATGCATTTAAGACGTAAACAAAGTTTTCCCAAAAGAATACCAAGTATTTCAAATTTAAGCAATGCAGGCGTGCGCATGTGATTGCATGAGCGTAATGACGATATCATCTTGTCTACACTTTTTACTCATTGCACGTGCACGCACGTGGATGATGACCATACCTTCTTGTAGGTGTCCATTATGTCTGTCTATGTTCTTAATCCCATCCTGTTTGGTTGAAAAACAAGGGAGTTATAGCCATTTAAAGTTTAAGCCAATCAGATTGCAACGCACGTGCATGCACGTGTTTTCATGACAATTATTATATATCATATTGTGGGACATCTTAAAGAATGCTTATGTTTTAAATTTCAAAGCATTTTGTAAAAAAACAGAAAAGATATTGAGATTTTTGTTTCAGCCAATCAGAGCAAAGCACACGTGCACGCACGTGATGCATGTGAATGGTGACCATTCCATCTTGTAGGAGTTCTTTATGTCTATCTATGTTGTAAATCCCATGCTGTTTGGTTGAAAACCAAGGGAGTTATAGTCATTTAAAGTTTAAGCCAATCAGATTGCAGCGCACGTGCATGCGCGTGATTTGATGAAAAATTTTGTATATCATGTTGTAGTACATCCTAATGCAAGTCTATGTTATAAATTTCAAAGCATTTCATCATAAAACAAAAAAGATATTGAGATTTTTGTTTCAGCCAATCAGAGCAAAGCACACGTGCACGCACGTGATGCATGTGAATGGTGACCATTCCATCTTGTAGGAGTTCTTTATGTCTATCTATGTTGTAAATCCCATGCTGTTTGGTTGAAAACCAAGGGAGTTATAGTCATTTAAAGTTTAAGCCAATCAGATTGCAGCGCACGTGCATGCGCGTGATTTGATGAAAAATTTTGTATATCATGTTGTAGTACATCCTAATGCAAGTCTATGTTATAAATTTCAAAGCATTTCATCATAAAACAAAAAAGATATTGAGATTTCTGTTTCAGCCAATCAGAGCAAAGCGCACGTGCATGCGCGTGAGTTCATGCAAATTTGACCATGTCACCTTATCTACACAACTTATATATCTTTATATAATGAGTTTCAAAACATTTAATCAAAACATATAAAAGTTACAACCATATTAAATATATCAATCATTTTACTCATTGCACGCGCCCGCACGTGCATGCGAATGCGCGCAAAATGACCTTCGTTCGGCACATCTACACAACATGCCTACTAACCCTAAAAAGGTTTTAACTTAGTTTGGTGAACAGTTTCTGAGAACACTTCCGGACAAAAAAGTACCGGAGAAGAAATAAGAAGAAAAAAGAATAATAATAATAATAATAATAATAAGAAACAGAGTAAAAACAATATGTTCCCCAACTTCGTTTGGGGAACATAATTATCATATTTCACTGAAATAACTATTGGTTTTGTAGAATGGAGCAATTTTTATATTTTAAAAACTGGGAAAATGCTTAAATGCTACGCAAATCCGTAATTGGTTGTTTGAATAAAGAAAAAGATGCAATAAGTTGTAATGTGTTAGCAACAGTATTAAAAATTTTGTTTTATTTAAAAGAGATATGTAACAAATTTAATCTCTCTCTCTCTCTCTCTCTCTCTCTCCGCCAACACATCTTGCAGTATTGAGGTAAAGCAATATCAACATTCTATCACTCTCCTATCTCTATCTTTTTTATTCTATTAGTACAGCTATACAAAATTCTTCATACCATTATAAAAATACTCCACACTACTATGAAATTACTTCATGCTATTATATGAACAATAGTTTTTTTTAAATATTTTTTTCTTAAGTGGATCTGTCGAGAGAGAAAGCAACGGCTCAGACTTTAACCTGGCCATGCCCAATTGCTGTGCATGCATGTCAAGGCAAATATATTTCAAGAAATGCAGTGGATAGAGATGAAAGCACATGTACAAGACAAAGTGTGATAGGAGGACAATCTAATGATAAGACGGTGAGGTGGAAAGTGGACCTGGGTGCTGTTTACAGTATATATAGCATAAATATACTGTTTAAGGACGATCCTGAACACAGTAAGATTTTACATTAGATTTTATCTTTAAGAAAAACAAGGTTGTTTTAAAAGTACAGTAATAAACGTGTATTATCAGTTCCAAACAATAAAGTTTATTTTGAAAATATTGACGGAATAAAACAATTGGAGCTCTTGCGTATCGAGTCAGCTAAAATATATAAACTCCGTATACAATTGATGAAGATTAATAGCTGCAAAAGTAAGGGAAGTTGGCGATAGAAAACATAAAGATTCAACACGTTTGGAAGTAAAAATTTGAGCTATTGCCATTCATTTACCCCCATAAATGATATATAACTTTGGATATATAAAAAGTAAAGCAAATGTATCATTAGGATTCTCGTCCCATTAAAATACACTGATTACATGATTTTAAAAACTATTTCCTAAATTAACTATATTATGTTCTGAATTTTCATGATTTCATGATTTTCAATTTAGAACAATGAATTTAGTTTTCAATTTTACACAACCAAAGAAGTCGAGAAATTTTCAAATGTTCATGTAAGTTTAATCAATAATACATGTCAGTGACTAAAGTTCCTAAATATAAAAACAAGAAAACATTGATGTTACCATCAACTGTCGCCCGGAAAATAAATGAAGAAAACAATGGAAATGAGTCTTGATCACCAAACCGCTTCCAAACATGTGAAAAAGGAATGCGTCTAAATGATGGAGACGATAGTCGAGAATTTTTTTGAAAACTTATATTCGGATGAAAATCGAACAAAAACGATAACCTTTTAAACCTTTTTAATTCTTCAAGTAACTATTAGTTGCATAAAATATAAATTAGAATCAGACACATGCATCACCTGCCATCAAAAATATATTTCACTTTAAGAATATAAAACACAAACTGTGTAAAGTACGTTTTTATGCGATAAATAAAATTCGATGTTCCAAAAAGGGACCTGTCTTTTTTTTCGATAGTTAATGATAAGCAACATTATATATTAAATATCAAAAACATCTAAATATTTGCAGATTCACTTTATGGAAGTAAATATATTGTGTATCACTGAATTTATAAAGAAAAAAACATTCTGATTAACAATTTTTGTAATCTTTAGAAAACCTTTAATTCTGAATAACTTCTCCCACCTCAATCCCCATATACCAGCACTTAAACTTATAAGTATAAAGCAGCCCGGTCCTCCGGGCTGCAATATATATTATTTTACAAACAAACAAGAACTGTGTTATCTTGTATAAGCTTCTAACCTGAGTAGAGATTTGAGCGAAAAAATCCGTAAAAGTATTTTGTCTCTCTTATTAAACGATCCAAACATTTCTTTTAATTATTTAATTTTGTGTCGTTATATGACAAATTTACCATTTGTGAAAATGAGGAAAAATCACATATATGAAATATAAAAATAACTAAATATATCCTAAAAATATAAGAAAAGTAAAGAAAATTTGGATTAGCCAATATCCATTTTGTAAAATCATTAATGTCAGTGTGTTAATATCATATTATAGGCCCTTTATGGTAGTTTCTTTTTTATGAAAAATAAAATCAATCTTTCAAAATACAAGTAAGGATCGCATAATTGGCAACAGATTTTTTTTATCATTCATGTCCAGAAAACAGGTTATGACAATGATCTGACCTTGCCTCTGATATAAAACTGTCAAATTTAATTTCACCGATACCATCACTTATTGATATTGTCCTCTTGATTCTGTGAAAATTTCACTGATTTTTAAATGAAACAAATGTGAGAAGAATCCTACCTTAAAGTTGCATGGTTTTGTATTTCCATGGTTTCATGCTTATTATTTTGTCTATACAGTTCTGTAACCAGCATATCCCCCTAAAATGGGGGTGCTGCGTTTTTTTTTTGTTTTTTTTTTTTTGCATTAGAGTATAGACTATGTGAATATAGACGCTGTCAAAAATCATTTACATTTGAAAAATTCTAAAATAAGAATATTTATGATTTTATTTCTAATTATAATTTAAGCCATGTTCAGAATGTGCTATCGATTACATGTACATGTAAATGCTATTCTATATACATGTACTCGGTTGCACATGTGTTTATAAGTAAGGCTAGATTCGATTTACATCGGCGTGAAAGTGAAAATAAACTTGCAAAGAATTGATAATTATCATTTATTTCGCTTCCTCGTTTTCCTTTCTTTCAATCGCTTTCTTTATCTCTCTTTGGCTTTCCCTGATTCGATGACTCTTTCTCTATTCGTATTATTTTTTATCAAAGTCGGTACATATACACTCAAGAAAACATTGATGTAACCATCAATTGTCGCCCAAGAAATAAATAAAATAAACACATTTTCTATCCAGAGTTGTCGTTCCCGCTAGGCTCCCACATACGCCTCTGTCAAGGCTTGTTTCCCAAGATTCTTAGAAAAATTGTAAAAGAATAAAAGTTTTATTAATACTTATTTATGATCATATATTTCTTATCAGAAAACATTTTTTTTTTTATTTTACTACACCGGAAAAGTATTTTTTAATTACGATTTTATTTTTTCTCTGCAAAATACTAAGTATACGTAGTTCCCTTAAAACTTTGAAAAATTCTTCGTTTTGAAGGATTATAGATACACTGTATAATATGAATGATGAATTGTCATGTTCATCGAAAATCATAAAGATTAATTACTTTTTCAACTTCAAATTTCCACAGTTTTAAATTTGTACAGGAATCTTGTACAACAAGCGTTGACAGAGGTGTATGTGGGAGCGTAGCGAACTCTGGAAAGAGAATGAAAGTAAACAATGGAAATGATTTTCGATCATCAAGCCGCTTCCATATTTGTGAAACAAGCATGCGTCTAAATGATGAAGACAACTTAAAGTCAAATGAAAATCGAACAAAACGATACCCTTTTAAACTTTATCAATTTTTAAAGTAAATGTTGGTTGCATAGATATAAATTGAAACCAGAAATATGCATCATCTACATATTTAAAAAAAAATGTATTTCACTTTGAGAATATAAAATAGGAACTGTGTAGAGTACGTTTTATGCCACATCTAAAATTCGATGTTCTAAAAAAAGGGAACTGTCGTTTTTAGATAATAATTGATAAGCAACTTTATATATTAAATGTGAAAAACATACATATTTTTACAGATTCACTTTATGGAAGTAAATATATTATGTATCTGGAAATCTTTAAAAGGAAAGAACATTGTGTTTAAAAATCTTTTTATGTTTTAATCCTTTAATCCTGAATAACTTCTCCCAGCTCAATCCCCACACACCAATCCTTAAACTTATATGTATAGAGCAGCCCGGTCCTCCGGGCTGAAATAACGCTGTGCCCTTTATATCGTTATAATTTTAAAAGGTCAGACATTAACACAATTTTATCTATGTATTCCTACTTTTCTGTGTTTATGTATATGTATGTGCAGATTGATTTTTTCTTAATTTGTATCACTTTATTCTAAAATTTTAGATTACATAGTCTGCTTTAATTTAAAAATAGAATGTTTAATTATTTTTAAAAATATTAATTTATAAAATTGCTTATAGGTTCAGTTTCGCAAATCATGGGATATGAATTTTTTTAACTTATCAATGTATGCTCGAACTTATTGAGTATTCTTAAACTCAAACTCAAACTAATTAATAATAAATAAACCAATTATGAGTACATTTCCTCACAGATCAAAATTGCTTAAAATTTATGTATTTGGAAGCATAGTAGAAAATGTAAATCATGGCTTTATATTCTTGATTTCATTTCCCACAAACTACATGTACAAAATATATATTATAAATTACAGATGGTATTTGTGAGTTATTAAATTTAATTCTGGTGACATTGTATAATGAACTTGTGTGACATTTTCTTTGGAAAATAAAAAGATGTAATGAATTTTCAGGCATATTTTTGGTTTTCGTATTCTTTATGAAACTGAAATAAAATGTACTAATATATAAATGCATTTTGTTTTCTGATAAGAAATTAAGAAAAATTAATAAAATGTTTTGATCTATTTTAGTCTTTGTGTGTACATATGTATTAGAATTAAGCTACTTCGAAAAAAAAGTTTAACAAAGAAAGGCATAGCTTAATATGGTTTACCTGTTAATCTTTCGGAACGTCTATTGGTTAACTGATTAGCGAATCTGTATTTGATTGACATCCCTTATAAAAATAATTTATTTTGGTACATGCAATAGGGTCATTAATAGACATAGCTAAATGTGTCTAAAAACAATTGAAAATAAACACTAAAAGTTTACATTATTTTTTATTTTTAAAAAAAAATTACCAATTGCTCATTTTTTTTTTCAGGGGATCGACAAATAGGCCGCTTTGCGGGATTTTCCCTGTTCTTATCAGAGTCAAGGGAAAGAAAAAATGAATCACTTTGTTACAAAGACGGTCCAGGATTACCGTCACTGAATTTCACAACGACTTGTACCGGATATGGACGATATGCCATCTTTTATAACGAACGGTCAGGCGGAGAATATCCAGATGGATACAGAGAAACTTCATATACGGAGTTGTGCGAAGTGATTGTAAAAGGTCTCAGAGTCAGATACTTACTACTTTCCTGATAAGCTTTGCAATATAATCCGATTTTTAAAAATAATTCTGAATCGATTTCTTTTTAAAAAGGATAATTTAACTCTATGCAGCAACTGGGGTCAAGTTCGGTCGTTTCCGCATAGCTTAATATCTTCGCGTATTATTTCCTTTAAGATTATTTATATTATTTAACAATGTGGTAATTTGAAAATTTTAAATGACTTTGTAAGTTTAAAAAAAATGATTTTTTACTGTAATATAAAATAACTTATTATTCTTACTGCCTTTCAAATTAAATGTAGAGAATGAACACGGTTCATAAAAGGAATGTGTCTACCTTTTTTGTTCAGATTCTCGCTACATCTTCAGACTCGTAAATAAAGGGGAGGACTAAGTCACTGTTCAGTGTAATCTATGAAATCTTGACCAGTGTAGACGGACGTATGCTATACAAAATTCCGTAGCAAAAATAATTACGTAATACTTCGTTTAATGCAGAATAGTAATATACCACAGAAACTTACAATTATATTTTTTGAATTTGTACAGGTCAATGCAGTATACAGACAATGATTATTACAAATAAACGTAAATGCAATAAAATGTAAAGTAAGGTTAAGCAAGGTAACCAACAAGAACACGGTTCGCTTTTCCACGCCAATATCCATGGCAATAAAGCAGTCAGGCGTAACGAATCTGGTTTTGATGTATCGTATATCATGATTTCGAAAACTGCGTATGCCTATTTGCAAATCGTGTTTAGTTTTAATGTACATTTGAAATACACGAAGTCTTACATGTTAATCCAAAAGTCCCGCCCACTGCTATATTTTTAAATTTAAAATCTTGTAAACTAGGCTTGTGTAGCTGTTAAGCAATGCATTTTCCTTCCGTATGCTTTAAATGCACATATATTCCACAATGCATAAGTTCTGTTTAAATTGTAGCATTTAGTTTAAGCGACTGAAATTCCAAAACAATAGCTGTGTTGATAACTCTTTTTTTATAACTTCAAGCTAGTGTGCGTTTTAAGGAGGATGACAAACAAATACAAATAATGATTTTGAAAACACAATCTAGAATATTTGTTACCGATTTCAAAGTCTTTATTTCTTAAAAGAAAAACAAAATTGTCTTTTACAGGGTGTAATGAAACTTCCTACGGGATAAATTGTGAAAAAACGTGTTCTATCAACTGTGACAAACAACGTTGTAATATTGAAAATGGAACATGCTTAAGATGTAAGCCAGGGTGGACTGGAGTGTTATGCAAAAATGGTATGTTTATTATTTGTTGAAAATGAAACAAGGCATCTTCATTATATAAAGGATGTATCGATGAAATCGAACTTAGTCTCATTTCTTTTAAAACAGTGTGTCCAAGAAGATGGTATGGATATGGTTGTGAAAAACAGTGTTCCGGCAATTGTAGAAACAATGACGTCTGCAATCACGTGACCGGTCGTTGTGACAAAGGATGTGCTAATGGTTGGAAAGGAGTAAATTGCGATGAACGTAAATGGTTAAATTTCTTTCAACTTTTGATCCATGCTTTAATTTCAACATTATACTGTTCATAAAAGACAAATAGCGAGCAATTTCCTTACTATTAATTCATTTATAACACTTTAATCATTCCCAACTAAACAATATGTATTTTTTATTTACAGTAACATATGTGATTGCTCTATGCGTTTCGGTACCGTTATAAACGTTAAAACAAAATTTTAAAGAATAAGAACTTAAAAAAATGATTTTAAAAGTGAAAGTAAATTAACTGTTTTAGTAATTATACTGCATATGGTTATTATCAACAGCATGTAAAGATGGAAACTACGGTCCGGGTTGTATATATAACTGCAGTGGTCATTGTCGTGATGATGCCTTCTGTAACAAACAAACTGGACACTGTGACGCAGGTTGTAAGCCGGGATATTCAGGGAATTTGTGTAACACAGGTACATATCATTGATAGACATATTTGAGGTAAGGTGTAAAAAAGGTACAATTAATCTCATGTATCATAAATACCGTAATGAAAATAAAACCTTTTTTTGAATATATCCTCTTAATTGTCCATAGAATGCAATGCTGGATACTTCGGGACGCATTGCAAGGAACTCTGCAGCCAGAAGTGTGTCAATGATGAGATATGTAATCATATAAACGGAGTTTGTACAAATGGATGCAAGGATGGATATATTGGAGAAAGATGCAATAAATGTAAGGGAAAACTCGATTTGATATAAATCACTTTCTATATCTATTCTGTCAAAGAAAATAGATTTAAGATATGGGATAACTCTTCTTTACCACTTGCATGTATAAACTTTAAGACTTTTACATCATTCTAAAACAATTCATTTACTTGATTAAATGTTGTTGATTTTATCATACATGTAATCTAACAAAGTGTTTAAATTGAATCATAAAATAGATCAAATAAACAGATTTTTTACATAATAATAAGATTAAACTTTTTTTTTCTCAGAACTTATTGATGTGTAAACTGGTGCCTTTTTTTATTCACTAGCTGAATAAAAGCAAAACACTTTTTTTCAAAAGTTTGTTTGTAAAAAAAAAATGAGTCTACACATTGATAAATTAAGAAGAAAAAAAATTTTGATCTTTAAAATTCGAATT